CCTGCCCTGCCCCCCCGCTGCGGCCAGCCCCCCCACCGCCCCCCACCTTCTTCTCCTTGTCGTAGGTCTCTTTGAACTGGAAGCGGAGGCCGCTCTTGATGCCCAGCTCCAGCCACTTCCCCTTGAACCACTTCACGCCCGGCTTGGCGGAGAGCTGGGAGCCGTCCACGTGCACCTGCACCGCCACCTCCTTCCCTGGGGGGGCACGGGTCAGCGACCCCCCTCCGGCCAGAGCCCCCCATCCCCAGACCCCCCCCCCCCCCCCCCCCCCCCCCCCCCCCCGCCGGAGCCCCCCATCCCCTGACCCCCTCTGGCCGGAGACCCCCCAACCCCCTCTGGCCAGCAACCCCCCATTCCCCAACCCCCTCTGGCAAGCGACCCCACCCATCCCTGACCCCCCTCTGGCCAGGGCCTTTCCCAGCCCCCCAACATCCCCAGGAGCCCCCAAGATCCGCCCCTCCCAGGCGGACGCCCCCCGAGACCTACCGCACTCCACAAGGACATGGCCTGGCTTCTGCAGGAACAGGCTTGAGGGCTCGTCCGGCTTGTCCTGCGGCTTGGCGTCTGCAGACGGGGAGACGGGGGTCAGGACGGGGCGCCTGGGGCTGCCGCGCAGCGGAGGGGGGCTGGGGCTGTGGGGGGGCTGGGAGGTCCCAGGAGCTGGGATGTCGCGGGGGGGACGGGCCGTGTCTGGGTGCCGGGTTCCCGGGGGCTGGGATGTAGCGGGGGGACGGGCCGTGTCTGGGTGCCGGGTTCCCGGGGGCTGGGATGGAGGTGGGGGGGACGGGCCGTGTCTGGGTGCCGGGTTCCCCAGGGCTGGGCTATTGGGGCCGGGGGGATGCTCTCCCAGGCGCGCATGCGAAGGCCGCGTCCCGTCCCAGACCCGCTCACCCTCTGGGTGCTGCTCCACTGGGGCTTCTGAAAGGAAACCAGGATTTGGATCAGTCAGAGACATAGCCCCCCCCTCCCATTCCCAGCCCCCCCAAACCCAGCGCTTGGCCCTGCCCCCATGGGACGAATCGGGGGATTTGAATCACGCTCTGCATGAACAGTGTGTGTGTGTGCGTGTGTGTGTGTGTTTCCCCTGCGTGTGTAATGGGGGCGGGAGACGGGGGGACGGGAAGGCGCTGTGCTGGAGTAGGGAATGTTAACCTGATAATGGTGCATGGGAGTTTTACTAGTTTACTGCTAACACGGGCTGTGCCTCAGTTTCCCTGGGGTGCTGCACCAGTACTAGATGGGGATGGGAAACAAGGGGGTGACTTCACTGCGGGATGATACCTGAGGGCCGGCACCTAAAGGGTCAAGTATCAGAGGGGTAGCCGTGTTAGTCTGAATCTGTAA